GGTCCGTCTTCTGCCTACCGACCTGCCCCACGTGTGAGAGTAGAAAAACTGTAGAATGGAAATATATTAATGTTCATATGCTGCGGTAAAGTCAAGAGACACTAGAGAGCATAATCATGGCAATTAACTTGTAGAGTCGCCAAAATTCACTTTGACGCAGCAATCCGCTCTCCATTTTTAATTGCATCGAACACAATTTACGCGATGCAGGGAAATTCGCGGTTCACATTTCCGTCGGAAAGAAATGCTGCATCTTGCATCTTGGAGGATACTAAGGATGTAACCAAAGCAAAAGTTGCAATATGTTGACAAAATCGCAAAGCTAAATATCATATAATGCGGGAAGCAATTGTTTTTCCCACTTTTAAATGCCAATGTGTGAAGAAGTGAAGGCGAAAGGATTTTAGACTTTAGGCTATTCAAATTCTAGGGGTTTTTTATAATAATGTAACTCAATGGCATTGTTATGTCCAGCAGTTATGGAAACAAGACTTTCATCTTGGTGATGTGATTAAAGCGTTCTTCTTCTTGTTTGCTCTTTGAAGGAGCTGGTCAGTGACTGGGCAAGTCATGATTAGCTACTTTTCACAGGGTTTGGCAACTGATGCAGAGGTATGGGCGGGTCATGTAACTCAGGCGGCTGATGTGTCAATGTGCAGCAAAATGCATGAGCAGCGAAGCTGACGACGAAGAGCGTAATGTGGAGGTCGCTAAAAGCGTATTCAAGGATAGTACATTGTGCGAATGCTATCAACTGACAGGCGAACATTCGCACTGCATGCTTGTCTCCGACTCTACATCGCATTGTCGAGCAAACACTATGGGTGCATGTAAGTGTGCGTACTTGTGGTGACAACTACTCGAATGAGAAGGTCACGGTCAATCAGTAATTACAAATAAGCGTGAATAGATTTGGCGTCACGTAGACCTACGCTTGGGCGCTTTCGTCAGCTAGCTGTTATATTCGCTAACACCAACATGACACATCGAGTCACTAATTAGGTTAGTGATGAAGACCTCTACTCTGAAGTCTACCTGCTGACTATTTGCGTGATAGTCTCGACAGCTTCTGGGAAACACGAGCATAACAACTCCACTTGTAGCAATTGTCAACGCGTTTTCATACGTGGAACTCAGTGATCCATCTCCGCCGGTAAACTAATTGCGCTCTTTGAAACATTAGCACTATACTCAATTAAGCTTCTGCTACTGTCAGACCACACAATGTGGACAGTGTCATGATTATTCCCAAGAAAATGGATTGCTCGCTTATCTTACATAGGTGATATATTCAGTGCACATCGTTTCCAATACCCACACCCTGATTCTCTTACGTACTATGTCATTTGTTCTTGTTATACAGCCGATGGATTTCGGATGCCCCCCTCATTTATTCTTTTCGCATGCTGCAGGCAGGTTCTATCAAAACGCAACTCGAGGAGAGGGACAAGCCCTTTTTATCCTCACAGTCCTTAACTCACAAACAGCGTAAATGACAAATCACGTCAACTTCTCTTGCAAAGTATTGAAATCGTGCAAATGACAAGTTGGTAAAGTTTTACCTTGTCCATGCATTTATCACGTCACTCACCCACTTGTTTGCTCACCTGTTGCGTTTATACCTCACATACATTGTACACCCATCTATTCCTCCATATTTTTACTTCTCTGGGCATTTGATCAAATCCTCTTGTTTTCTTGGTCCGTCTTCTGCCTACCGACCTGCCCCACGTGTGAGAGTAGAAAAACTGTAGAATGGAAATATATTAATGTTCATATGCTGCGGTAAAGTCAAGAGACACTAGAGAGCATAATCATGGCAATTAACTTGTAGAGTCGCCAAAATTCACTTTGACGCAGCAATCCGCTCTCCATTTTTAATTGCATCGAACACAATTTACGCGATGCAGGGAAATTCGCGGTTCACATTTCCGTCGGAAAGAAATGCTGCATCTTGCATCTTGGAGGATACTAAGGATGTAACCAAAGCAAAAGTTGCAATATGTTGACAAAATCGCAAAGCTAAATATCATATAATGCGGGAAGCAATTGTTTTTCCCACTTTTAAATGCCAATGTGTGAAGAAGTGAAGGCGAAAGGATTTTAGACTCGGCCGAACTGATAGTGAATACACGGTGAAACCCGGTGCAGGAAAATTAGCACTGAGAGCCAGACAAGGGTCATGCAATAGCTGGAGGCATCATTTATGTCTATCGTCAATTTGATCACCCCAGTTCCT